CACACACACACACACACACACACACACACACACACACACACACACACTCACTCTCTCTCTTTGGTCGCATTTACCTCTCCGAGATAGCATATTTGTTTATGTGCAACTTCAACAAAAACTTCTATTATGAGGTTAACAGTCTCTGGTGTGTTTTTGTACACCTCCATTAATCCAATGCAATTGGTAAGGAAGTCCATCAGAAAGTTAAAGAGTATTGCTACATTATCTATCTGGGTAGCCTCAGCAATGCCACAAAGTGCTTCTAGTGTGGCAGTGATTTCTTGTTTCACCTCCTCCTCTTGACAGATCTGTTGAAAGTTTTCTTGATTTATCACATTCAAGAATCGCTGCTGAAGTGGCTGAAGTACCTACAGAATCAAACATTAAACAGCCATTTCTGATAAATGTATTCTTCCAGTTTAATACATGTAGTACTCAGGGCCGGCTCCAGGCATCAGCTGAGCAAGCTGGTGCTTGGGGCGGCAGATTGTTCGAGGCGGCATTCTGCCCAATCCTAGGGCGGCACGGTCGCTTTTTTTGTTTTTTGTTTTTGTTCTGCTCCGGCCGCCCTGTAGGGGACGGCGGCACGAAGAACCAGAGTGCCTTGCAGGGCAGTCCTCTTCCTTCCCTCCCCGCCGACCGGAGCAGAGCCCTCGCAGCAGACGGCAGGAGGCGGCGCAGCGGGAGGGGCCGCATGGCAGCGCCCCTGCTGTAGCCCTGGCCGCCCCCTTCTCTCTCTCTCCCGCCCGCTCCCTCCCCCCTCAGCCGGTCCCCCTGCACCCGTGCTCCGGCCACGCCGCAGGTTTTTTTGTTTTGTTTTTTTTTTGCTTGGGGCGGCCAAAAAGCCAGAGCCGGCCCTGGTAGTACTCACAGTTTCCTATCAATTCATTAAAAAGTCAAGTCTTTATGGCACACAACCCTTCCCACTCTCCCCACCTACAAAGCACTGGGATAACTCACCATTGTTATTCCAGTTTTACACTGGTGCAATTCCATTGATTTCAATGGAATTAAAACTGGCATAAAACTGGGGTAACACAGTGATTAATCAGGCCCATTAAGTGAATTTTAACTTAATCTTGCCATGCACCATCTCCGTTTGGGGTCTGTTTCAGCATTATCTCTTGCCAACTTATTTTCTGCCCACTTATGGTGTTTAAATTCCTCTCTACTGTGCCTTTTTCTGTCCTCTCTGATATATGAATCTCCTCCAAATTTTGTATCATCTGAAAGTTTCTTTTCTATTCTAGCTAATTAATAAAACTGTTAAATAAGATCAGTCTTAATTATCTTTGTGGTATCACATAACATACTGCCATCTGTCATTATTATTTTAAAAAACTATTTATTTAGGAAGTTAACAAGTTTACAAATCCTTGCCATGTAAATACCAGAGCCAGTACAATAATCATTACAACACTGACCTTTTGTTTAGAGAAACATTTTTTAGTCTTCCAACCTATGTTCAATCTGCATGATACTATTGATAGCTAAGCTAATTTGATCTAATTTTTGAGAGTTTAGTTTTTCCAGACAGTCATACGCTTTACAAAACCCCAATATATAACCAGTTCCTCTATGATGTTCCCTTTCAGTTATTAATTTTGTAATTTATCAAACAAGCAATCAAGTTTTTCACAAGATTTCTTCTTTATAAACCTATGGTGCTTATTGCTCATGTTTCAGTTACCTCTAGGGCCAAGATGCTTCATTATTTTCTCTCCATATTCATTTTATTATTTTACAGTAGAACCTCAGAGTTATGAACACTAGCGTTACGAACTGACCAGTCAACCACACACCTCATTTGGAAACAAAAGTACAAAACCAGGCAGCAGCAGCAGCAGCAGCAGCAGCACACACACACACAGTACAGTACTGTGTTAAACGTAAACTACTAAAAAAAAATAAAGGGAAAGCCGCATTTTTCTTCTGAATAGTAAAGTTTCAAAGCTGTATTAAGTCAAATACTCAGTTGTAAACTTTTGAAAGAACCATAATGTTTTGTTCAGAGTTACGAACATTTCAGAGTTATGAACAACCTCCATTCCCGAGGTGTTCGTAACTCTGAGGTTCTACTGTATTGTTGCACTTTGTTAAGCCTGACAAAATACATGGAATCTTACAAGGATCATATAAACTAAAAGGTTACCAGGGAAAGAAGTGAGACTTCCAAGACTTCAGTTTTAAGGAACGCTCTTCTTTCCTTTTTTGATAACCAGTCATTTTAATCTCACCATTTCAGAACTTTTTAAAAACAACATTTATGAAATACGATTATAAAATGACCCTCAATGTAATATTAATTGGTCATGTTTAAATAACTGGTATCTTACATACCCTGTAATTGGTGTCTTATAAATGTCTAGGTAAAATAAGAATCACAATGAAATTTTAATATTAAAAAAGCCTTTAAAGACGTTCCGTGTGCAACAGTAGTGTTGAATTCAGTTTCATTGCTTGCTGAAATGAAGGTGACAGAAATTTAAAATTTCTTACCTCTGTCCAGTATTGCTGTTTTGTATCTGTGTCCATATGAGCAAAACCTCCTAAAACTAGAGCTTTCATTAGTGTTCTCTGCACAGAACTGGACAAAAAGTGAAGAGGTGGGCTTCGCCTCGCAAACTGCTTAGCTAAATTCCACCAATTCTCACACTGAATTACTAAATTTGCCCTAAAAAATAAAATAAAAATAAAAGTAAAAAAATTGCTTACTCATAGAAAATCCTTTAGAGAAACATACAATCTGACTGCTTCTACCAAGTATTTTTACTAGAAATTTTGTTAAAGTTTTAAAGTTTTCATTTAAACTAGGATTTATACCTAGTCTCTATTCTTTGTGACATTCATCTTATTTATGCCTCATTTCTAGATTTCTGTAAAATTTAATTTATAAATCATTTAATTTATGAGTGAAAAAAATGGGAAAGTACTTTGTAGAGTCGCATAATACCCTTTATTTGACATCTTGCATGTATTGAGCTCAAGCGGTTTATTTTGAGTTTTGTTGTTATAACTCTGAGCCTAGAGACTCAAGTTTTAGAGAATTTACAGGAGATTCAGATTAAGCAAAAGAAAATCTGTTTTATTACAGAGTTCTGTTTAACCAAAAGAACACAAACCAGCAAAGTCTTTAGCCACTGTTCCTTCTTGCAGCTTGTCAATCTGTACACATCAAAACAACAACAAACAGGGCATCTCTTGTGTATCTCCAGAGCTCCTCAGCTCGTGTCTGGGCAACAAATTTCTGTCCCTTCTGGTCACAAGAGTAGGCCAGTCCCTTTAAGGGTCTAAACCCAACTAGACTCCATCACACAGAGATTGCCTTTGCTCAAGGAGGCATTTCTAGCGGGACCAGATTAAGACAAACCAGGGCCCTTGCCACCCCCTCACATGGGGTCCCTCCTGCACTGTGGCGCTCTCTCTGATTTGGCCAGCAGTGGCATGGGCCACCAACATAAAAGCAAAGAGTGAATTTTGCTAGGCTGGTTGCCCTGCTCCTCTTTGCATAAACTTGGGCCTTCCTCATTTCTGGGTCACCACTCCCTGCCTTCAGGTGAGCTGGGCCCTCTCCAAAACCAGGGAGGGGTCGGTCTGCATCCACCTCAGAACAGGACTCACTGTTACCACCTCAGCCAACTTATGATGGAGTAGAAGCAGAGAGGCCCCTCTGTGTAGGTAACTATGTTCTATCAATTTCTGGTCCCTGTGTAGGGAACAAATGCCTGCCTAAGCTCATGTTTCAAACCTATCAATGCAGCTTCTCCCACTCCTATTCCTTTGCCTCTGTCATTTCATCTATCCCTTCATTTATTCATTTCTTCCCCTTCCTCGATGCATTACAGATCCCATATTCACTATATTCTCCTTTCCACTCCACCACTCATCCTCCCTTTGCTTTTATCTTCTCTCTCACCTCACACATTTGTTAAGCTTGTGTTCTCACGGTCTTTGTTCAACGAACAAAAAAATGAGTGAGAAGGAAAGGGGGGAGCTGTAGGATCTCCCAACCCCACAACAGGCTGCAAGCAGCAAAACATGGGCTCTCTTTCTTCCCAGTCTACCCAGAGTGCTCCAAACCCAGTGACTGGCCCTCCCTTTCTTTGTAGGGAGCACCTCTCACAGACTCCTTTGGTCTCAGAGAACAGCAGGGAAAACCCTTCCTTTTCTTTGACTAGTGGCAGGGCCCCCTCTCCTCTAGAGCAGCAAAGTGGCCATCCCAGAGCTGCAACAGCACAGGACTGGTCCCATCTGGTGGTGGGAGTGGGGCCAGAAAACTTCCTTCCCTTGTGAGTGGCTGTCTGCAGATACAGTGAGGCAATGCGTTAGTTACACTCTGGTAATGTTTTCAAGATTTTCTTTACAAACGGGGGGGCTATAAACTTTTATTTATTTATTTATGGTAAATCAAAGTGGAGATTCTGACCTCATCATGTGATTCCAGGAGCTAGGGCCCCAACATGGCTCTGTAGTGCCTATGTCATAATCCAATGGTTCTCAACTGTCAATACCGCGATTCCATTTTACACAGGTTAAAAAACAAACTTTGGAACCCAGGGACACCGTTCCATGTAGTCAAAGAAATTGAGGGTGGTTGTAATCCCCTTAAAATTCCCCTCTAGGCTCAGAACACATGCTTTAATCCTGGATTCCAGACCTGACTCCCAGACAGGACTCAATCCCCTGCCAACCTTAACTAAAAGCCCACACCATTATCAAGCTTGCTCTGAGGGAGCGCCACTGTGGTTTGGGAGCAGAAATGAGAGAGGCAGGGTTATGGGAACCCTGTAGAGAGCACTGAACAGTGGCAGCTCCCAGATAACACTAAGGAGTTCAGAACTGACTTTGGCACTTGAATGCTTTTCCTACGTTGAGAAAGGATGGTCTCATGGTTAAGGCAGATGAATGCTGCTGTAAAAGAACTGGATTCTACTTCTTCCTTTGCCAGAGTTCCTATGTAATACTGGGCAAGTCACTTCAACCAAGCCTTTTACAATCACTCACTCATTGTGTGTTTCTCATGCCTGACTTTGAAACCCTGGTGTCTGATTTGCAGAAGTGTTGAGCACTCACAACTGTAACTGAAGTCAATGGGAGCTCTGCTTTGAGCGTAATTATGAAGTGCTGCGTAATGCTGAGTATTCTAAAAAATCAAGGCCGAAGAACCTCAAATTTAGCACCCAAAGTTTAGTATATACTTTTAACCTTACTCTCCCTGTGCCTCAGTTCCCCATCTATAAAATGGGAATAATACCCCTTAATTTTAGAGAGGTATTGTGAAAATAAATTCACTAATATTTGTGAAGCACTTCACATACTATAATGATGAGCACCACAGAAAAGCCAATGAGGAAGTTAATAATTCTGTCTTCAGAGCAGTTTGAACAGTGTGTAGTAATAAGCCATAGGGCCACACACCGAACATCAAGCAGAAAACAAAATACTGAATAGTTGTTTGTTAAGTGAGCACTGTCCATTTTGTGCACTGAATGAGGCAAGGATTCTGTGTGAAAAAAAAATCACGTAATTAAATAATGCACCATAATGCATACGCACAAAGGGGGAGGATTACAGTTGCACATGCAACTTTAATTCTGGCATTTTTAAATGTGCGTGCTTGACTTAGCAACCGTAATAGTGTTCTTTTAACACAGTACATATGTATTACACACAAAAAACTATTTTGTGTCAGTCTACAAAAGGATAAAACTTTCAAGAATTTGCTGCTTTACAGCTTCTAGCTCCAAGCAAACCTTTGAAATTTATCACTTTCTCCAAATTCTACATGCTTTTAGGTGTTTAAAATTACACCATTTTAATATTCTTTTACAACATAACTATGTTGGCATTTGATTTTTCAACCCTAAACAGTTAATTCTTCAAAAGTAAATAGCAATGTAGAAATCCTCATTATGGGATTGGGAGGGTGGGGGGAAAGGCAGAGTTAATTCTTCCTAACCACCTGGTGGTTGAGAGGCATAGGGGAAGGAGAGCACATTTCAGTACAATATAAACTTGAAGGGTTCACTTAACTGGGCTGACAAGCACTGGCGGGCTGATTCTCCTCTCCATTATACAAGTTTTATGTTTGCTGACACTCCACTGGAGTTACAGAAGCATAAAACTGGTGTAAGAGTGAAGAATCAGGTCTTGAGTCTACGTAGTCCAGAACATGGTTATTATTTCATAAAAGGAGAAAAACATCAAGTTATATAGTTTGTGTGCAAGTATGTACATATTTTTAATAAAATACCTTATATTTTATGCTAGGGTTTGAACAATTTTGAATGCTTTAATTCTCAACAGAAAGTGCTCTTAGCTGTGGAAAACATTTAGAACAGTACAAATACTCTAATAGGTAATATACACTGTATTCGCTTTATTTTTGGCCCAATATAATTTTAAAAGATGCAAAAGAAAAATTTGACTTGCATAAGCCTTCACTTTACCTCTCTCTCCTTTCCACTAATGTTACTAGCAACTGTACAGTGTCATTTGCAAGGTCCTGCTCAGAACTCCATACTGCCAGGTTACTGATTACTTTTTCTAAGAGGTAACCCACAATCCACTGGGAACCCTCTGTGTCTGCACCAAATGCTGTATTAAATGGTAGACTTATCTATAAGAAAAAGAAAACAATTAAATGAGTGCATTTTATAAAAAGTCAAAATAGTAACTCATTTTCAGACTTTCACAATCTTTGCTTACTTAACATACAAAAGTTATGTTGACAAAAAGGAAAAAGTATAAGAAAAAATAGGTAGGAAACCAAACTTACCTCTCACTCTATGCCAAAAAACTGGAAACAATATCTATTTTGTTATAAAACCTTATTTTAAGTATCCTTCCATCTAACCTTCAACAGCACCTTTTAAAAGAAAGATTTCCCATGTATGCAGTGTTGTTATAGCTGTGTTGGTCCCATGAATTAGAGACAAGGTTGGGACCACCTTCTGTTGGTGAGAGACAAGCTTTTGAGCTCACTCTTCTTACCTGAAGAAGAGCTCTGTATAAGCTCAAAAGCCTGATTCTTCACTTTTGAGCTCACTCTTCTTACCTGAAGAAGAGCTCTGTGTAAGCTCAAAAGCTTGTCTCGCTCACCAATAGAAGCTGGTCCAATAAAAGATATTATCTCACCTACCTTGTGTCTTTAACATTTCCCATGCACAGTTCAAGGTGGCCATGAAGGAATTCCTGCAGTTCCTCAGAACTGAAGATTCTAATACTGAGGGCTGGCCTACTCTACCTCTTAGGTCGATGTAACTTATGTTGCTCAGGGGTGTAAAAAAGACACACCCCTGAATGACGTAAGTTACGTCAACCCAAGCACTATCCATATTGGCGCTGTGTCGGCGGGAGACGCTCTCCTGCCGACATAGCTTCCACCTCTCTCGCGGAGGTGGAGTAATTATGCCAATGGGAGAGCACTCTTCTGTCAGCATAGCATGTCTTCACAAGACGTGCTACAGCAATGCAGCTGCAATTGCTCCCTGAATTTGTTCCATTTGCTTCTTTTTATCGGGGGGGGGGGGAAGGAGCGCAGAGAAGAGGATTCAAGTATATAAAAGGTTGTTACAAGGAGGAGGGAGAAAAATTGTTCTCCTTCACCTCTGAGGATAGGACAAGAAGCAATGGGCTTAAATTGCAGCAAGGGCAGTTTAGGTTGGACATTAGGAAAAGCTTCCTGTCAGGGTGGTTAAGCACTCGGTCTGGAATAAATTGCCCACGGAGGTTGTGGAATCTCCATGGTTGTAGATTTTTAAGAGTAGGTTAGACAAACACCTGTCAGGGATAGTCTAGAATAGATAATACTTAATTCTGCTATGAGTGCAGGGGACTAGACTATATGACTTCTTGAGGTCCCGTCCAGTCCTACAATTCTGATTCCATATTCAAGTTCTGGTGCAATAATGTCTGACACCCTTGAAATTCCAAGTATTCAAATTTCCTGTTCTCTGCAAGAATTAAGTTTCTGAAAATTGAATCTCAGGAATTTGATAATTTTGCAAGGGGGCTCTGGACGCCTCGGTCTTGTGAGCATGTTCAATTTCAAATTCCCATCTATTTTCACGTTTCAGCACTAGTTTTCAGTAAAAGAATTTTCTCATCACCTTCAGAGACCAATATTATTACACACAAATTAAGATGGATACAAATGGGTTTTTTTAAAAGAAGAAAATCAGTATTTGTAATTTAAATTAAATATAGATTTATTCAAATTAAATTTGAATTTGACACACTATGTTAAGGGCTAAGCTTGTACACAAAAATAACATTAAGCAATACATGTTTGCTGCCAAGTCTTAAAGAAAGTGAAACCACTGAACTGATGGAAGTTACTGGCTAAGCACCTGGAATCAGAGTCTGATGAAGTGCTAAACTAGCTCTTCTGTGGATACAGAGAGAATACTTTCTTCATTTCAGTTTATTCAACTAGTTCAGTTCAATGACTAGTTCAGAAAGTTAAGAAACTGACTGAAAAAACAGGAAAGCTTGTTTTCTTCTTCTAACCTATGAATAAAAACTAGATGTGATAGGATGAGGTCTACGATTACTAAAATCTCAAAGGATGTAGTGACCAGAAGCAGTCAATTCAATTAACTAAACTACAGATAATATTTCCTTTGTTTAATAAATCAGTTTTAAATGCAAAACATGTTTTGATAACTTTTCTTATGTACTTAGCACATTTAAGGTTATTTTATTTAATTTTAAAAAATTAAAATGCTGTTTTTGTTCTTCATCCAAGTACAACTTGACAGAAATCACAAGAAACAAATTAACCATCTAGTCAAAAAGAAATACATCATTCACCATTCTTATAATCAAAAACAATGTAAAAATTAAGATTCTGAATAAATGTAAGTTAAGCTATACAATTGCTTAAATAAATGTGTCTAGATATATTATATCCTCCTGGTTCACAAATTTTTTTTTTTTGTAGTAAAGGCTATATTTAGTTGCAAATCAACATGTTCTAATGGTTCCCAACCAATAAGAAGAGGAGGTTACTTACCTATAACTACAGGTTCTCCCAGATGTGTGGTCCCTATCTGTATTCCAATCATGGGTGCGCATGCGTGCCAGGTTCTGGAGCTAGAAGGTTTTCGTAGCAGTGTCCGTTGATCCGCATGTGCATCGTGTCTCCTTGTTCTCCCAGCAACGCCTCTTCAATGACCCTCTTACCACCGAGTATGCCAGCCCACAGCAAAGGGGATGGAGAGCAGGTATTGGAATAGGGACCACATATCTCAAAGGACCTCCAGTGATGGTCCCTATATGTATTCCAATTGTGGGTGAGTAGCAAGTAGTAATCAGCATGGAGATGGAAATGCAGTCTATAGAACAGCATGTTCGCAGCCGCTCCTTCAGCGATGGCCTAGCGCAGTGGTCCCCAAACTTTTCAGGGTCGCGCCCCTCCTTACCCCTGTACATGCCCTCCACCATGGGAGGCGGGGCCGGGAGTGGGGCTATGGGACACAGAAAAGGGTAAGGGGGCTGGGGCTGGGAGCAGAGCCCCGGACTGAGGCTGGGGGTGGGATGGGGTGCAGGGCTGCGGCTGGGACTGGGGCAGAGCTGGGGCTGGAACAGGATGGGGTGGTGCTCCCTCCCGGCCCCCCATGGGGGCTGGCCCAAGCCCTGCTGTGAATGTTCCTTTGAGCCCCCTAGGGAGGAGAGCCCCACAGTTTGGGGACAACTGGCATAGCAGGAGGTAAAAATGTGAACGAATCACCATGTTGCTGCTTGACAAATGTCCTGCCAGGAAACGGCTGCTAGGTATGCCAAAGTGGTAACCCATGTTTGCATAGAGTGTGCTGTAATTGTATCCAGTGGCTATACGTTGGAGTGTATGTAGCACGTCTAGATGCACCCGGAGACCCATTTCAAGAGTCATTGGGAGGAGACAGCTTGGCCCTTGGACTGGTCTGCAATTGGTACAAACAGCTTCGGTGATGCCCGAAAGGCGCGGGTCCTCTGGAGATAAAAGGCTAAGGCATGGCGGATAGTGAGGGAGTGAAGAGTAGCGTCTGCATTGGAGCCGTATGGCTTCGGACAGAAGACAGGGAGGTGAATGAACTGATTGAAGTGGAACTCCAACGCCACCTTCGTGAGGAAGTTAGGGTGCAGTCGCATGGAGACTATGTCCTTCTGAGGGCAGTTCTATATTACTGGTTAAGTCATCTAACTTACGTCGCTCAGGGGTGGGAAAAAGCCCCCTTCCCCAAGCAATGCAAGTTTTGCGCTGTCCACACCAGCACTATGTCAGCGGGAGAGCATCTCCCGCTGATGCAGCTTACACTTCTCACTGAGGTGGAGTATTTATGCCAATGGGAGAGCACTCTCCTGTCAGCATAGAGCATCTTCACCAGACACACTTCAGCTGTGCTGATGCAGCACTGTAGTGTAGATGTGCCCTGAAACACAGTGTGTGTGTGTGGGGGGGGGGGGGGAAATGTCAGCCATCATGGTTGCCAGTATGCTGACTCATCAAGCGAAGGTAATGATAACCAAGAAGATTATCTTCATAGAGAGATGAGAGAGGGAGCATGTTTCCAGCAGTTTGAAAGAGGGCTTTGTGAGAGCAGATAGGACTAGATTAAGATCCCATGGATCAAACGGATGGGATCCCATGGATCAAACGGATGGTGGTAGGAGGGATAAATACTGAGGCGCCATCCACTGGAGGGAGGAAGGCACTAAGAGCTGCCAGATGGACTCGGAGAGAGTTGATGGTGAGGCTCAGCATCTTGGTCTTGAGTAGGTAATTGAGGATGATGGGAATGGAAATCTCACCAAGATGGTGGTGATGGCAGTAACACCAAGCGGTGAAACATTTCTATTTAGCCTGGTAGCGTGCCATGGTTGATGCCCTCCTGCTTGGAGTAAGGATGTGGCATACTGTGGTAGAGCATGCTTTGTTTAGCCTCAAGCTCCATCTAAAAACTAGGCCATAAGGTGAAGTGGGTTCGGGTTGGGATGCCGGACTCGCCCCTGATGTTGGATGAGGCGGTCTAAGAGAGTTCGGCAGCAGAGAGGTGCTCAGGTGGAAAATCTGAGGTCATCTGGGAACCAAACCTGGCGTGGCCAATATGGGGCTATGCAGATGACAGTAGCATGGTCTTGTTGAATCTTGCAGAGGACTTGTAGTAGGAGGGGAATAGGGGGAAAGGCGTAGCAGAGGTCTCCAGTCCAGGACAGGAGAAGTGTGTCACTTTAGGAGTCCTAGCCCAGGTCTCCCCTGAAGCAATAGACAGGCAACTTGCAATTCTTGCAAGTGGCGAAAAAAATCCCAGCGAAAGGTGCCCCAGATTCAGAATAGGTAACGGAGAGCAGGGTCGTGCAGCTCCCATGGAATTTTGAGTGCCTGGCAGGTACATAGCCTGGAGCATGATATGATGGTTGATGCACTAGTTCCACAGGTGTACTGACTCTGCACAGAGGGATGGAGACCAGGCACCCCCTTGTTTGTTGATGTAGGTGACTAGATGCTATATTGTCTGAGAGGAGCTGCCTATGCTGTGATTGGATCAGAGAAAGAAATGCCTGGAAGGCTAGGCAAGCTGCTCAGAGCTCCAGAACGTTGATGTAGAGCCTGGCCTCTTGCGGTGTCCAAATACCCTGGGCTGTGTGTTGGAGGAGGTGCTCCCCGCAGCGCGCAAGGGAGGCATCTGTTGCGATGGTGGCCTGTGGGGTGGGGGTGGTGAAGGGGCTACTGACTATGACATTGGACGGGTCGGTCCACTAGGTGAGGAAGGCCAGAACTGTCCGAGAAGCCACAACCCTGGCCGTCACATGATCTCCGTGGGGTCTGTACATGGAGAGGAGCAAGAATTGTAGGCAACACATGTGTAGATCTGCATGTGGTGTCACACAAGTGCAGGCCGCCATATGGCAGAGGATGGAGAGGCAATGGCATACTATGATGCAAGAGGCGCAGCGGAGGGTCGTCACTAGGGCTGTCAGCACTGAAGAGGTCCGGTGGAAGGAAGGCACAAACCACAATTGAGTCGAGCAGCATGCCCATAAAGTTGATAGTCTGCGTAGGGAAGAGCACGGACTCCTCCTCATTGATGCAGACACCTAGAGAGGCCAGGAGAACATGGAGATGGCAGAGCTAAGCTCCTGTCAGGAGAGCATGACAAGGAGCCAGTCATCAAACTAGGGGCATACCGAGTAGCCAAGGCAGCACACGTGAGCCACCACAACCACGAAGACCTTCATGAAGACTCACATAGCTGTCACGAATCCAAAGGGGAGGACTCAGAATTGATAGTGGTCATCAAGAAACAAAGGAATATCCAGTGGCCCAGGTGGACGTCGATGTGGAAGTATGCATCACTCATGTCAAGGGCTGCAAACCAGGCCTCGGGGGGGAAGGGAGGGGATAATAGAAGCCAGCATCACCATATGGAACTAGGATTTTTGGATAAAGGTATTTAGTAGGTGAAGGTCGAGAATGGGGCAGTGCTCTCTGTCCTTTTTGGAATAAGGATGTATGGGGAGTATAAGCCTCTGCCTAGTAAGGAGGTGCCATGGGCTCTATGGCACCCTTCAGGAGAAGGGAATCGACCTCGTGTTGTAGAAGGCATTGATGGGGAGGGTTCTGCAGGGGGAATGAAAAATTCTATGGCGTATTCTTAGTGGATAATCTCCAGTACCCAATGATCATGGTGATCTTGCCCCAATTGTGGGCAAATAGGGCAAGGCAGGCCCCAAAAATGACGTGTGGGGCCGCGGGTGGCAATGGGGAGAGTTTGCAGCTCTTGACCGACACGTCAAAACTATACCCTGGGTTGTTTTTGGGTGAGAACTGAGAAAGTGGTTGCAGCAGAGGTGGTGCGTCCGGTGGTGCCGGCATGGGGGTTCCTGGTGCCACTGGTAGTACGACAAGTAGGGTGCATACAGCTTCCTCTGGAGAGGAGGAAGCAGTTGTGGGGAACAACAATACTGGCTCAACCTCAGCCTCGGAGCCCAACGGTACCAGCAAAGGAGCCGGGGCAGATTGGTACGAGGCCTGGGAGAGAGGGTACCTGGGGGTATGGGTCCCAGGGTAGCCAATGGGGCCAAAGAGTAGAGAGCTGGGTGTGCAGCGGGCCTGAGGGATATCGGTGCCACACCACCAAGGCCAGGTCGTAAGCAGGAGGTTAAGGTGGGCAGGCGGTAGTGAGAGTCAGACCTGCGCCTAAATATCAGAGAAAAGATTGGCTCTGGTTCAGAAAAGCCCTTAGAATCTGAAGATGCCTCTGGAAATGGGGGAGCAGACTGTGTGGCCAGAGCACGGTGCAGCACTGGCCCTCTCCAGCAGGTGCAGCACTGGCTCATCCACCACAGTGGGCACCGCACAGACGAGTGATGGGCCAGAGAGCAGCGATGAAGGTGGGTTGGGCAGTTCCAGCTCTTCCGAGGAGAGAAGGGGCTTCAGACAGCCAGTGGTCCATGCAGGACCCCTGGTGGCAGCGGAAGACTGCGGTGGAGTCCGCACAGCTAGTTGCACCGAAGGTCATAGAAGCGACTGGGGGGGATGGGCAGTGAGTGTGCAGGAGACGGCACGGAGCGGGCCACTGATGGTGTCGCCGGATCAGTTTTCTTCTTTGCCTTATCCTCAAGGCAGGGAAGCTTTGGTGCCGGTGCAGTGGGGTCGGCACGCAACTTCTCACCCAACCTGGCTCAGCTTGGGGAGGAAAGGCTGTGCTTAGAAGCAGCCCTCGACAGGGACTTGCTTCTGTGCCTAGGAGAGTGCTTCCTAATCTCATGACTGGAACTGTCAGGTCCAAAGCAAGGGAAGTGCTGGCGTGGGTGCTCTCTGCCGGTTCGGATGGTCCCAGATCCAAGTGGGCATGCAGCCTCATGGCCTCCTCTATGAGGTGCTTTCTCAGGCAAAGTTGTCACGCCTCTCAAGTCCATGGCAGGAAAGCCTTACTGATGGCACAGCGATACAGACTTCCCCGAAACAGAAAAGACAGCATTGGTGCTCATCATTCACAGAGAACAAGCAAGGGCAGGAAACACAGTTCTTAAACTGCAGATTGTGGGGCATAGTCCCCAGGAGGGACCCTGTAGGACCCCGACCAGGAAAACTATCACTAATGAACTATCACAACTATATAAAACGATGGGAAACTATCTACACTACAAAAACAACAAAGTAATACTATATACAGGAAAAGTAAAGGCTATGTTAGTGTAAAGACGAAGATCGCAGAGGACCAGGGATTCCGACTCCAGCCATGCGGCAGTAAGAGGGAACTGAAGAGGTGTCAACCAACACAGCCTATCATAACTTGTGCTAGGAGCATGAGGAAGTGCACTGCGCATGTGCAGGTCAATGGACATTGCTCCGAAAACCTTCCAGCTCCAGCACATAGCACGTATGCACTTCATCAATCAGAGAAGAATCAGTCTTTCTTTACAAAAATAACTAAAAAATACAAACTATTAAAGACTAAGAAGGAGCCTTCAGTATCCCAAATTACACTAAGGATGATCCTCTGAATATTTTAATATCCCTGATTATTTCAGCAATAGAAACTATAAAAATGCAGTCACTATGCCCTCCTTAGTCAATGCAGGCCAGCGAGTCTTTTACTATTGATCTGTAGTTCAATTGTGTCGGCAGGCTCCAATCAGCATTAGAGCTCCATTGTGTTTGTCCTGTTCAAACAACATATAAGACTGTCCATGCCACAAGGACTGCCAATGAAATAATGGGTGAGGTAATATCTTTTATTGAACCAACTTCTGCTGGTAAGAGAGACCTGAAAAAGAGCTCCGTGTAAGCTCGAAAGCTTGTCTTTCTCACCAACAAAAGTTGGTCCAATAAAAGACATTACCTCACCCACCTTGTCTCTCTAATATTCTGGAACCAACACAGGTACAACTACAATGCATTCTGAAATACTAACAACGTGGACATGGGGATGGAACATAATGGAGTGGGGAGGGCAAAAAAATGATTAACAGGAACACAAGTTCACACAATTTGGACCCTTCATAGGTTCTGGGGGTCCCTCCCCATCTCTGCTTTTTAAAAATATCCAACTTTAAAGAAGAAATATTAATTAATCTCTATCAGGCCACCTGCCTAGCCATTATCATTAGGCCATGTACCGTGACTATTACAGTGGAGATTAATCTCAAGAAGAGATTTGAAGACGGTATTGGCTCAGATAGCTTATTCGGAGAAGATATTCCACCAAGTGACAGCATGGAGGATGTATATCTGCTATATCAAAGCCTACAAAATGGCATTTAAAAATCACAAAAGGTATTTGTAAGTTATGAGTGTTGCTATTTCCGCTTAGCAAAAAAAATTAAATAGAACACACCCATTTTTCAGGCTATGACTATATACACTAAATTCGAAAACAAACTACAGCTAATGTTATAAATGTCAGCAACTGGAGGTTTAAAAACTCTAACATCCACTTTCATAAAGTGGAGTTAGTGTTATATTCTCTACAGTCCATTAATGCAATCAAAATTGCAGTTAAAGTCTTACCTGGTCATACAGTTTTTCATCCACTAGGAGATAGGTCTTTGCCCAACGCTTAAGAAACCATACAATATCTTTTCCCATTTGTGGACTCAGAAGGTGTGTTAGATCCGCCCTTATTGCTCGAGATTCTACTTCTGAAACTCTTAGAATAGCAGATAATAACCTGCAGATATGAAGTATAATTAAGATACCTGACTTTGGGTTTTGGTGAATTTTTATCTTTTGGGGTTTTAGCAGGGTCAATTACCCAAGCAGGGTGGCCTGGCCACACCAAAGATTTCCATTCTTCATGGAATGGGGTGGAAGAAGCAATACATCAACAAATATTTCCTCTCTCTACTGATGGAGTGTAAGCACCCTCAGGATATTCTCTCTTTACACATGGATGGTGGGATGGGACAGAGATGCTAGAATATCCTAGTCAAGTCCAAGAGAATGCATTTGAAATTGGACTCTGAAATCACTGCAGCAGGAAGAATTCTCTCCAGTGCTCTGACATCAGGGGAAATGGGAAATATTTCAATTGGAACACTGCCTAGAGGACTTAAAAAGCTTTTATTGAGACATCGGTATTTCCCCACTCTCTTGCATTATTACCTATAAACTTTGGACAGTCTCAGGAGTGCCTTTTGGAGCATGTGCAAATTAAATCAAATACTGAAACTGTAAATTATCTCACTATTTTTGTTACTGTACAGTGTATATACTTCCTCCCCCTCAACCATATCCCTGATAGACCCTAGCGACTCTCTTAATTTAGAACAGATTTTATTCCCTACTCCACTGGACACACACAATTGGACAGTATTGCTTCTTTTTTTGCCAGCTAGAGGGAGGGGTCATCAAAGAGGAACATAAAGGTACTCCTTTACTTTTCAAGGACAAAGTATAATGCTTCTACATCATTTCTAGACCTGTCAATCCAGGGACCAAATGAATGGGAATGAAAAGCCATCTCTAGCCTCCTACAGTAGATTAAGGCTGGCATGAGACAGACACAGAAAAGTAATTTTAACCCTGGGTGAAGTAACTTCCACATCCATTAGTGTGCCACATGATCCCCTTAATTTGAACCCTCAAACTCTGAGACTCTGCTCTGAGCCATCATTTTTCTTTCTTCTTCCTTCTTTCTGCATTAATCCCATCAAACGGGGTCAGTGCTGAGTCCTCTCCCTCCAAAGTGCTCTGTTCAATGCCATATCCTCTATCACAACACATGTTAACATGTCTTCCTTTATGAAATTCCACTACTTCTTTTTGGGCAGGCTTCTGTCTTTTTCCTTCAGTCTTGATCTGTTGGGATTCTCTTATCCTCATACCTATCAGGACTGTACTTTACATGACCAAACCATCTGAGCCTGCACTCCCTCATTTTTTTGTTTATGGGTTTTACTTTGAGCATATCTTTAACATACACATTCCTCGTGTGGTCTTTCTTCTGACTCCACTCATCCATCTTAACATCTGCATTTCTGTACAACGGATCATTTGCTCATGTTTCTTCTTTGTTGCCCAACACTGAGCACCATACACATCACTCTTCTTCCCAAAAAGGATGGAAGTCCCTTCTGAACCCCTCACACTGGTCCTTAAAATAGGCCAGTAACTGAGTGTCTGAGCGACAGCATTCTTTCCCCACTGAAGGCCAACAGAGCTCCTTCTGGAGCAATCCCAGGGACCTTCATGACAGAAGCAGACAGACCCATTTAATACTTTGGAACGCTTGGCAAATGGTCATTTTGTTTATGCACGCTGTAGAAGGCAGTATGCAATTCATCTATATAGTCTTATCTAGAGATTTTAATTCAATGATGTTTCAAACATTTAGTCTCATATGTTCAAAAAAGAAACACCATTTATTTTGATTCTTGATATTTACTGGCAAAAGACATTTGTTTCTACAAAGATGTTTCTCCGTCTCTACTGCAAATCATATTCTGCATTTCTCTCCAGGAACTTGCTCCACCTTCCCCTGATGACTCCCTACTTACCTGTCTGCTTACTCTAGCTCTCTACTCTTGGGACTCTTCTGAGTCTCTCACATTTTGGAGTTAGAGGAGTAATCACTTTTATTTGTCTTGCCCCATCTTCAATACTTTCCAATCCTACCTTTTCCCATGCCACTAAGTCACCTTTAGCTTAAAATTTCACCTTAAGACTGTTACTTTAACCTACAATTGATTTAATCCTTCCTACCTTTATAGCATTACCTTATTATCCCTGTACTATAACCAATCTGACAGAACATCTACTTAAAAGATCTCTTTTCCTTTCCCATATTCAACGTTCATGCATTGTTTCCCTTTTTCCTACATGCATGAGACCATTAATATTCAAGTTTTATCTTCTATCTACCTATATAAATTTGTTTGAGATACTATGAATGGAAGTTGCTATAGACTGTGTTGTATTCTTACCTAATTACAGAATCAGTTCTGTTGTACCCTGGGATGGAAGAGGCCTTTTCTCCTGGAGATCCCAGGATCTGAAGTGTTGTATTGATGTCAACCTCAGTTGAATGCTTAATGGAATATTCCATTACTTCTGGAGGTATTAATGGAGTCTCTCCCTGAGTATCATTAGCTAAGAGGTAGCCTAAAGTTTTGAGAGAGAGAGAGAGAGAGAGAGAAAGTGACCACAAGTTTTTTGCGCTAAAGTTTTTGCATTTTAGGACTTTGCTTTTTAAGTCTATTGGCTTTACAACAGATATTAAATGGCATTGAAATCAATCCTGACTAACAATGCTAAATATCTCTCTTCATCAATTATGTATTTCAGTTCTGTGTGTATAGATGAGAGAAGAGATCCTAAAATTGTAACAGGAAGCTAAAGATGAAAAGTAATCCCTGAATAAACAAAATACAGAACACATGCTTGCTTCACCTGCAGATACCAGAACTGATGCCTCTGTAGAATAATAAATTTTTACACGACATTTCTAATAGCTTTCTTTCTGCAGTCATGTGATAAAATGTCTTCATTTTACAGTTCTGACTCATCAATCTAAATTGAGATTGCTAACAATCCAAGCCTCTTAGCAGCTTTCAAAAGAATGCCAAACGAACTTACCACAAAAAAAGGTTTCCTTCTTTCCATAGCAAGTCTAGCTCAGGTAGAAGAAAGTATTTAAAAGAACAATAGTCTGATGTCCAGGACAGGCAATATTCATTCCTGGTCTAGTGACAACTGTAATATCCGATGTATCATAACGCACCAGAACTAGAAATAAAAACTTTATCCCACAGGGGATAATGGTATGGCTAGTAAACTGTATACTATATTTGCATCAAGATCTGGTAATCACTAAGACATCAGACATTCAAAAATCATAAAGCCCTGTTTTATTAAACATCTTAAAAGATGTACATGTTTATTCCAATATTTCTGCCACTGTGGCATGGGCATAGTAACTAAGGCAATTTGGTTTTATGAATCAATATAAAAGATAGTACCAATAAAAAGTTTGCAACTTAAAAATGTTTCAGAAATAAATTGCCCTAAAATGTAGCAAAATATGTATGGTGCTGTGTGGTTGCATCAATGTTTTATTGACACTCTATTTGGGATGATCTGCATAACTCAGTCAGGTCTTTGTCACTCCTTAGTAACATGGCCATCATAAACTCATGCCAGTAAGTTCTTTATGCCATTACATACGTCAGATATTCTCTATTTATGATCTTTCATTGTTAGCAAGCTACCTGAATATGGTGACTGACTAACTTAAGAACAAACAGGTCAAAGTGTATGACAAAATCAGTACAAGCACAAAAAGTAAGATGTCTTCTGTTAACATTTTTCTAAGCATCTTTATAAGAAACAAATTATTTCTATCAAAATTAACATAAGGAAATAAGAAAAAGACAAAGTAACCCAGTATTGTTGAAGGGCAAATGATACGTTTGCCTCTAGTTTGTGAAGCGTCTATATGAAATGAAAGATAATGAGTGCATACAAATCAATTACAAGGATGAGACATATGGGCTGATAGATGCATTGCAGTTTTGGCTGAGGAGCTCCAGTTTCAGATGCAGTATACCAATATTTTATGTCTTTAACACTTTCCACTAACCTGTGACTAAAATAAGCCAATGAATATCCTCATACAGGTCATCAAGCACTTTATTGTCAATTGACCCTGATCCTGGTGAGGCAAGTAACTGCTGCTGATGTCTTTGTAACTGACCATGGAGCCTTGTCACTCTGTCTTCTAATAAACTGAAGAAAAACAATGAGCAAATAATGTTATGTAGTCATTACATAAATTAAGGTTATATTAAAGAATTAAATTCTGCTTAACATGAGATTCTTTTGTTTTAATCATCTGACTAAAGTACAGTACACTTTTATAATTATATCTTGTACCTTGTAAGAAGAGGTATACAGTGTTCTGCAGCAATTCTTCCTAGCATGCCTACACTGGCCAGCTGGTCAGAGAACTGGTCTCGATCATCTTCCTGCAGTTCGCTTATTTCTTCTTCCTCCCGAGAGGCTACACCATTGGCAGTCTGATGTGATTTTAAATAAGTTAAAAGTCATCAATCAATGTATATTATACAAGATATCTACTGTGTTAAGAATATTACACTATGATTTTTTTTTTCTTCTTTGCACTTTTCTACATGCTATTCAATTTTTTGGTGTTCCAGATGGAAAGAATGTAAGTTTAAGTTTAATAAAATATATGTAGAAGAATTAAGAAAGGAGTTGATAACTTAATGCCCATGGTTTTCTGGAATCAGGAGTGGGACTACGTCTTGCCTCTGAAACAATCACCAAACTCTGAACTCAAATCTCTTATAAAACTGGAATGCAATAATATAAATCCAGATATTAAATTAGACTATTTCTAATAAATGGAGGAATTACAGACTAGCCACTGGATGCCAGTGACAGACAAAACATGATAGGAGAAACAGAAGGAGAAAAAAAATAGGAGGAAAAAAATCCCACCCTGTCTCCCAAACTTTTCTATCTGAATCAGGAGCTCAAACAAAATGCAACCTATGATAGGCCAAGTGAAAATGGCTTTAGGTGCATTTGGCTGACCCTACTGATCACACAGAACAAGCTCAGCCAATCAAGGACAGAGGCAAAATATACAGTTTGTTCTCAAGGACTAGCTTTAAGCTTGAAATACGTCACCAACATACCAATAAAATTTGCAATAGACAAACTGAGCAAAAAGATTCTAAAATTCAAACACATCACTACTGGCTTGCAGATACACTAGTTTAGACACTAATCAAGACTGAATTACTACATTTGCTATTTGAGTCACACACACACACACACAAGACCAGGAACTAATATTTTAAGCTATGAAAACACTGAAGCTGGATATTTTGTTTGCCAACTTCATACACAAGTAATGACAGACAACGTTGCCAGTTCTAGAGATTTTATTGTGAGTCCTACCATGTTTGGTGTTTTAAAATCCTAGCTCCTGGAGTCTTGTTATTACATAAAAATTAGAGCTTTCATTAAGGAAAAGAAAAGTTTCCAGTCCTCATTGTTTACAGAGTAAAGGTTGAAAAAGTGAACACTAAAAGCTCAAAAAATCAGAAGGGAAATAAGAACTACCTTAATTTTTTTTTTTTTTTTAAATCTCACGATTTTTAGTAAATCTCTATTTTTGAAAACTTGGGTTGGCAATATTGCAAAGACCCCTTGAGTAACATCATGACTTATTTCCAAGAACAAATACACTACATTTCTGGGAAAAATGGATTTCAGTGTTAACTGGAAAGTTAAGTATGAAATTGCAGTAGTCAATAAGAAAGAGAGAAGATTGTGTGTCAGAGAAAAATATCTTTTTGCTGTCATTCTAGAAAAGAGCTGGGAAACTGAATCCAAATCTTAAGTCCTCCCAAAGTGCTTTTAAATGCCTCTTTTCTTTATCTAAACTGGCAAATAATTCTCTTTTGGCCACTTCAAAGTTGCAGCTGCTTATTGAAGAGTGCTTTCCTATTTGAAAGTTCCAGCCACTGCTTTGATATTGAACAAGCAGCATTCTGAAATGCCAGCTGTGGCTTTTAAAAGGTTATTCATGGGATAAACGACTTATCTCACAGAAGGACATGAATTAACCTGTGTATACAAGTTATGTCAAGACTGTCTGTTATGAATTCAAGGTCTCTTGTAAAATATTCTTCTCTATACTGACACTCTTACCACCATCTGTTATGTATCAAGAGAACCGAAATAGGTTTATATGCTATTTTTCGGAAGCGAGGTATCTTAAAGCCCTTTAAATACCATTAAGTTCGATACCATTGATAAAATTACTGTATAAAAATTGGGCAATCATCAATATACTCAAGATTTACATTCAACAGTCTACATCAGAACCTGTTTTAAGAGACAGAATGTTGGGATGGATAACAGTTATTTTCTTTTTCCTGTGAAAATGCCATGGAATGTTTAAAATTTCCTCCTGGGCAGCTACCCTAGAAAGGCTGTATGGACCCTGGTTTACCATTTTATCCAAAAGGACCATCTCTCTACAAATGCAGTTTCTCCTAGTCTGAGCCCACAGTCCTACTGTGTATCTAATAAGTTTACACATATAAAATACAAGAGGACAACTAAATAAGAATTTGGCGGTTAAGTACAGAGAGAATTAACAAGCACACTATCAGGTTTATAATTCCACTGAAGTGTTTTTGGTTTAATCATAATTCCCCCCAAAAGGTAGTAATTTGTTTTGTCACTAGACCCAAAGATGGAAGGATAGGAGGCAAACAAAATTTTCAATTATGGGGCTATTTTATATATTTAATAGAGCCAAGCTTTTAAAAGCATTCTCCAACACTGCTCTCCTCTTATTTTCTCTTTAAGAAGAGAGAAAAAGGCTCTTGAAGAACCCTCTCCTGTGTCAAACTCAGCACAGTGTAACTGCTAAACATGTTTTTTCCTCACTACTGCAGACCATCTAAAAAAATTTATGTTACCTCCTTTAATAGTTACTTAAGTAGTGTATATCTAAGAAATGTTTAATTACTGTATACCAGGGATCGGCAACCTTTGGCACGCGGCCCACCAGGGTAAGCACTCTGGCGGGCCAGACCTGTTTGTTTACCTGCCGCGTCCACAGGTTTGGCCGATCGCAGCTCCCACTGGCCATGGTTCACCACTCCAGGCCAATAGGGACGGCGGGAAGCGGCAGCCAGCACATCCCTTGGCCCGCACTGCTTCCCGCAGCCAAGAGCGCCGCCAGCTTTTCTGCTGCCCTAGGCGGCAGAAGGTCCAGCCCCGAAATGCCGCCCCCCACAGAGGCGGCGGAAGGTCCCGCCGCCGAAATACCGCTCCGGTCGCCATCCCCCAAATTGTAGCGCCCTAGGCGACTGCATAGGTCGCCTAATGGGTTGCACCGGCCCTGCCCGCAGCCCCCATTGGGCTGGAGTGGCAAACTGCGGCCAGTGGGAGCCGCGATTGGCCAAACCTGCAGACGCGGCAGGTAAACAAACTGGCCCGGCCCGCCAGGGTACTTACCCTGGCGGGCCGCGTGCCAAAGGTTGCCGATCCCTGCTCTATACACTAACAGAGTGCTTATTATTACCCCAAGAACCTCAAATTAAGAACTTACCAAATTCCTTGTACCATCAGGAGCAGCTAGGTGGCACTGAATATAAGAATTAAAAACCTGAACAGCATGTTGGGTAAAGAAGCCTTTGTGGAAATGTTTGTCATCTTGTACCAAGGTAAGCCAGGATTCCAGCAATTTATCATATGCCTCCATGTATACCATGTCATCTTTGTCAAGCTGTAAGAAAAAGATTATTACCAAACTAAACAAAGCAAAACAAATCAAAATTGCATTAGTAATCATAAATCTTTAACAGATATTCTACACATTTTTATAAACAATTAATATAAAAATCTGAGCTGAATTCAGTTACAACTACACCTCTACTCCGATATAACGCGACCCGATATAACACGAATTCGGATATAACGCGGTAAAGCAGCGCTCCGGGGGGGTGGGACTGCACATTCCGGCGGATCAAAGCAAGTTCGATATAACGTGGTTTCACCTAGAATGCAGTAAGATATTTTGGCTCCCGAGGACAGCGTTATATCGGGGTAGAGGTGTACTATAAAAGATACACATAAGAATTCAAATGGATTCCCTGAAGTGATATCACATAACAAGGGCCAGCAAGTTTTCATGCCAGCTAAACTTTTTAAAAAACTGGCACTCTAAAAAACAAAAATAAAGTTAAGAAGATTCTTCCCTGCACCTAAAAGTTTAACACCAAAATCCTCTTCCCAAATTACAACTTTAAAATACTTATGATTTAGATCAAAATGTTCAAACCTGGGTGCCTAAAGATAGGCACATAAATAAGTAACCTGATTTTCAAAGGCGCTGTGCACTCACAGCTCCTCTTGATACCCATATTATATTATAATACATAAAATATAAAATATATTATAATCACACACATATACTTAAGGCTCGTGGAAGTCGTGGACTCCATGACTTTCCGCTATGTTTGTGACTTCCACAAACGTAGCGGAAAGTCTGCAGCGGCTGGTGCATCTGACCCCAGGGCCAGCTGCTCGGGCACTCCGTGGCCAGCCACAATGGCCGCTGCTCGGACAGCCCTGGGCAACTGGCTCCAAGGACCGCCTGAGCAGCAGCTGTCCCGGGGGCAGCCGGAGCGGCGACCCCGGATGCCGCTGGAGGAGTGGTTCCCAGGGGCCTTGGAGCAGGGGGTCCCCTAGAGCAGCGGAGCCCCATGAGCAGAGATTTAGTTACCATGGATATTTATAGTAAAAAAGTCATGGACAGGTCACAGGCCGTGAATTTTTGTTTATTGCCCGTGATCTGTCCATGACTTTTACTAAAAATATCCATGACTAAATCTTAGCCTATATATATATATATATATATATAAAATCACTCTTTTTTTAAAAAAGAAAGACAAGAAGGTGAAAGAATCCTCTATTCTGGGGAGAAGCACTATTAGGATTTGAATCTTCACAGTACACAATTACAGGTAAACAATTTTTTTTTATGATAATTCAAAACAGGTCATCAATCTTGGAGACTAAAAATGGCAGGGATCATTCCACAAAACCACACACACAATAGACAACTGAAAGTGCAGGTAATATGAACATATATTTGAGAGTAACATTCAAAATACTTGAGCGGAGGTTACTGTTTACAATTATACACACAAAAGAATAAGATGCCACAGAATGGAAGGAGAATAAAGGGCCTCAAAATGAAGTTACTACACAGCAGGACAGATGAGGAGCCCTTGTCCGAAAAGTTTCTTTAACACTATTTGACCAATTAGTGACTATCCTGAGGCAGAATTTAAACAATAATTTTTAGTAAATATATCCAAATGTCACATAGCTTTCTTGCTAAAGTCCAGTTGGAAAAACATTGTAAGTGTACTACTGCAAGACCTGCCTTTTAATAAATGGTCCTTATCATGACCTTTGAACAGGAGGCCTACCATGGTATAATAATTTGGTACAGTAGAACTTAATGAATTGATGTCTTCATAAATAAAAAGTGAGTGACTATGACCTTAAGTCTGCTCCAGATAAAAGCTTAGTGACCTTTTAACACCAGGCTTGTAGTGAAAGTCCTCACTGTGATGGACATGTGGGGAAAGGGAAAAAAAGGTTGGGATGACAAATCAAGATCGAAACATTTTAAGACACTTTTTCAGCACCATACTATCTTCAAGGTGATCGTATTTTCAAAATCAAAAACCAGGACATTCATAGATGGAACCATAGAAAGGGGGGTTGGGGGATGAAGGGGAGGAAGAAGAATTTTATTCAACATAAAAAAGACAAAATTGGGAGACAGACAGCATAGTAAACCAGGGCTGGCCCGAGGCAAATTTCTATCCTCATCGCACATTATATCCTTTCCTTTTAAAGTAATTTTTAAAACCTGTTTACTTATTGCATCATTGTGCATTTACCTTTTCTATTATGTAAAAACTTGTTAAAATTTATTATGTTTCCCTTGCATTAGTTCTTTTTACTTAGGCCTTGTCTACACTGCCACTTTACAGCGCTGCAACTTTCTCGCTCGGGTGTGTGAAAAAACACCCCCCTGAGCACTGCAAGTTTCAGCGCTATAAAGTGGCAGTGCAGACTGCACCAGCGCTGGTAGCCACGCTCCCAGCACTGGTAGCTACTCCCCTCGTGGGGATGGGTTTTTTTTTTTTTAATAGCACTGGGAGAGCTCTCTCCCAGTGCTGGTGTCATGACTACACAGCCACGTTACAGCACTGCCGCGGCAGCGCTTTAACATTGCTAGTGAAGACATATCCTTACTCTTTGCTCTTCTCCTCCTTCTCGCTAACATACAAATATCTTTTCCCAGTCTTTATTTTCCATTCAATATCATTTTTCTACATTGCATAATAACTGTTCTCTCTCTCACCCTCTATCTTCCCCCGCACCCCAAATATGTTAGATATTCTTCCAATTTTCCAATTTCTCCCCAACTCTCCCTCTAGTGCTCTTCTCCTCTGAACACTTGTGGAGTGGACATTTTTGAATGTGTTGGTGTGACTACTGCCAACATCTGACTCAGTGACATGCATATCTCTTGGACTGGAGGATTTTTTCCAGTAACTTAGTGTTCTGAATGAGTCATGAAACACAAACGGGTGTCATTAACATTCATTTGAACAAAAAAAGCATCTATGCTAATTTGAATTTTCACTCCAAACACTGATCACACTGAACACTCATTCTGCTGGACTGCTTGTTCATGGTGAACACAGTGTAAATTTAACACAATACAGGAATAAGTCTTGAATTAAAACAAAAACATCTGACTTGATTAAATGAAAAGCTAGGACACTTTCAGGTGTTCTGAAAAGTTCCTGGAATATTATATCAATGTTCTGGTAAAGCCACTTTACCAGTCTTCAAATACTTTATAATAAAGGTGTATTGATCACTAGGGCTTGAAGTTCACTTCAGCACACTGAATATGTCACTGCCAACAGGAAAGCGGTCTCGAAGAAATTTAAGCTCACAGGTATAGAGTTGTTTTTGTGAGGGCCCATTTGCAGTAGGTTTTTGCCTGGCTGTACTAGTTTTTTCTTCCTTTCCTGCTAGCTAATTGGTCATTAGGAATGTCCTGGGTGATACTATCCATTTCCACACCTGTAGAGTTCTCTAATTACAATCCTGCCTTTCCCAGATTGTTTCTGTAGAACACACACACCTATGGACCGGTCAGGTACATGGCCACAAATGTAACATGTTTGTAAACATGCAGTGTCAACACAAACCCAAAAGACATTAACTCAGAACTGGTAGAGCTGTTTCCCTACTGAAAATCTGAGATACATCAGATGGTTGAAATGTATCCATACATGCATGGTAAAATCCAGGGCATACAAAAGAGGTATAATTTTTCCTAGTGACACCATCATTAATGTTACTTTTGACAGATGAAAAAAAACCACCTATGTTTCCAAGATCCAGAGTGGGTTTGAACCCGGCTGTTATGAACATCAGCAAACCCCTGGAATAAACCCGCTTTGTTCTTTCAGCATGCTATTCTAAGAGTAATTTAATTTCTTGCAATCTCTCTTCCTCGTGCTCTTGAATCTGAGAATATTTAAGAACAATACTTTGATATAATTTCTCTAAAGCAATTCTGTATCCCATTAGACCAGTGGTTCCCAAACTTTAACAACCTGTGAACCCCTTTCACTAAAATGTCAAGTTTCGTGAACCCCCTCCTAAAAATGAATATTTCCAGGGATTTTCTCCTTTACCCGAGTAGAAATTATAAAAGCAGTGATCTGGGAAATATAAAATTTGTTTTTATGACATGCTTATTACACACTATTAATTATTATTTATCATTACAGTATTTTTATTACATTATGAAAACGGCAACACTCTTCTGAGATCTCACTTTCGTAGCTTGTATCTCTTTGAATAAGCCTGTTATAAGACAAGGCTCCTATGTTTCATCAAGGAGTATCAGATGTGAAACAGCAGGAAGGTATTTAAGAAGCCAACTCAAAGAGTTCCTCTTATACAAGCATTCAGGCCTTGAGCAGTCCAGGCAAACAACACACATTAGACTAGCTGCCTATTTAATTTTAAAAACAGCAAAAAATGTTCTGCTTAGCTCCTGGGAGTCCAGGGGCTCTGGGCTGCTGGCCCCGTGCTGCCCAGGGTTCCTAGGGACAGCTCTGTCCGCCATTAGGAAATTTTTTCCTGATAACCCCCTGTAACATTTTGCAAACCCCCAGGGGTTCACGAACTCCAGTTTGGGAACCACTGCATTAGACAATGCTGAGGATTCATGTGCTCTAGGTAACCACAAGCCATTAGGGATAAGAGATCGCTAGTCGCCCTCCAAAAAGACTGATCCTCCCAGGCAGATACTGCTACAGTTTGGCAATTTGCAGTAGGTTTTTTTTTGCTGCTTATGATTTTACTGAGAGATGGAGTGCACCAACTCTGAGTATACTAATCACTTCTGATACCATATTTAAGATGCGTAGGCTGGCTCTGAGACTGGTTTCTTTTTCTTAGTCCCTCAGGAACAGGCGGGTGGGGGCTGAGGGTCAATGGGTGGCTTTCCTCCCTTTAGCTTTAAAGACTAGGTCTTCATCTTTTCTCCAAAAAATTCATCATATGAAATATCTTCATGCTTCTGCTGAACCTCTGTATGAAAGCCTTATAAATGTAACCAAAGAGAATCAGTCCCAGAAATAACTGCATTTAACGTCTTTGTCTGTTACAAATCTGTAAAATGGGGCAACTTAACCATAGATGAAGTTTGAAAATATACAGCATTTAAGATTCACACGAAGAGGTATGTAAGTGTTATCCCCATTTTACAGATTAGGAAATGGAACCTCAGAAAGGTTAAGTGACTTGCCTGGAGAGCACTGTGGTCTAGTTGAATAAGCATTTGTCTAACAATGGTCAAGACAAGGGTTCTAATGTACTGAGTTGCTCTCTGACCTTGGGCAAGTTAACATCTGAGCCTCAGTTGCCCAAACTGTAAAATGCAAAGAGATATATTTGCCTACTTCATTGTGACGTTGCACTCTATATGATTTTATGAAAATATGCTAATGTAACTGGAATATGCTTCATGCAAAAGGTCTCTTGTAAGGTATCATTACAAAGCTTATAATCTACTGAGTGCGATCATCCTATTTATATAAATGTACGACTCTTGTATCTGAAACTAGAAATATGAAATGTAGCGCTATGGGCCTATTGTAATTATGCAAAGTGTGGGCCATTAATGGTGGTTTGGAATCTTGATAACTCCCATTAACCAGGACAATTGACTGCAGATGGCTCTATTTTACCTGTAAGTCTTCCTGTATAGGTGTGTGCTGACAAGTGGGTAATGAAGTCTTACAGTGACATGTGATCATGTCACCTGATCTGGAATCCATCTTTAACCTGGTACTTTTCCATTGGGGGTGGGGGTGGGAACCCAGAGGGACAAAGGATTCCTGCCTTATGCGAAAGATATATAAGTGGGTGGAACAGAGAAAAGTGAAAGCCATCATAAGGAATCCCCTAGCTACCACCTGAGCTGGAACAAGGGCTGTACCAGGGGAAAGGATTGTGCCCAGACTAGGAAGGCATCCAGTCTGTGAAAGAAATGTATTGAAACATCTCTGAGGGTGAGATCTTATCTGTATTCAGTTTCTTACTGTATTAGACATAGACTTGCGTGTTTTATTTTATTTTACTTGGTAATTCACTTTGTTCTGTCTGTTACTACTTGGAACCACTTAAATCCTACTTTCTGTATTTAATAAAATCCCTTTTTACTTATTAATTAGCCCAAAGTATGTATTAATAACTGGGGGGAATGGGGGGGAAACAGCTGTGCATATCTCTCTATCAGTGTTATAGAGGGCGAACAATTCATGAGTTTACCCTGTATAAGCTTTAAACGGATTTATTTGAATTTAGACCCCGTTGGGTGTTGGGCATCTGAGTGTTAAAGACAAGAACACTTCTATAAGCTGCTTTCAGTTAAGTCTGCAGCTTTGGGGAAAGTAATTCAGACCCTGCATCTGTGTTGGAGCAGACCGACGTGTCTGGCTCAGCAAGACAGGGTGCTGGGGTCCCGAGCTTGGCAGGGAAAGCAGGGGCAGAAGTAGTCTTGGCGCATCGGGTGGCAGCTTCCAAGGGGGTTTCTGTGATCAAACCCGTCACATTCATAACTATCGTGGGAAAGTATTTTATAATGTAAGTGCTAATTGTAAAGGTCAGTCAACAGCAAAGGTTGGAGAACTCAGGCCCTTCTGGCAATGAGAAAACCTCCACATAATACATTTTAAAAGCTTTTCAATATAGGATCTTTCTGGAGTTTTTTTGTTGGTAAAGCCCAAATAGATAGCAAGCCACCTTTTTATAAACATATAATCTAAGAGAAAAAATTATTAAACATTGCTAATAAATAAGGACAGTTTTATATTCTTAAGTTCTATTTTTACATCACTGTGTAGCAAATTTACAGATATTAGTTCTCATTATCATACACAGGAGCTGCGCAGTTTGTCTGCCTTATTGACTATGTCTCTTCTTCAAATAGCTCCTCTTGGGATTATTTCATTTTTAATATTACTCTCCTGGGCAGAGAGATAGAGGGATAGTAATTGCTCATGTATGTTACAGCCAACAGCTTTGATGTAACAACAACAAAACACTGAATTACCTGGCCATCTAAATTTGTAAAAATGTCATCTGAACTGAGTCAACAGTCAAGGGATACTTAAAACAGCCACTAAGACATAGAATGGGGGCAGAAACAGGGAATACCATAGCAGATGCATTCACTTATACAGAGGTTCAAGCTTCAGGTAAGTTTCAATTTGCCCATATGTGCACATAGCCATTCCAGGCTTTCAAATCTGTAAATTGTTAACCATTTATAAGCACTTCTCAGAAGTTCTACCTGAACACTTAAGCAATATTTAATGCCTACTATACTTGCTAGTGAAGCTGTCAATTTAAAATGAAGACGTTTAACAGGTATTTTAATCAAAATTTTAATTCAAGTTTAAACTTGTTAGACAACTATTTAAAGGTGCATAATTATTTCTATTGTTGTTCATTATTAATTATATTGGTCTACACATATCTCTTCTACATCTGATTATAGTAATGTAAAAATAAACTAAAAGTTAACAGCAACTTTCTCTCAAACAAAACTAATGAATCTCAGAAAACATATATTACAGAATGGGGCTAAGACATCCAAACATTACTAAGTCATTACAAATCTATTACATTCTTATGTCTCTTGTTAATTTGATGTTCATCATAAATGCAATAAAAAGAACTCAACTCTTTCAAGAATCAATTGCAGTTCAAGAACAGTACTCACCACTTCTTCCAGTGCAGCACTTCTCCCAAAAGAACAGGTGAGGTGTGTGAGGCAGTTAACAAATGAAGAGAAAAGTTCATTTGGAATGGCAGTTAAAACATTGCGAGGAAACACAGTTATCAGGTTGCTGAAAACACTGGAGATTCCCATTGCTTCAGAGTCCTCTATTTCAACTCTATAGATAGAAACAGCAGGGTTTTGGGTTTTTTTTTTTTAGAAATTAGGAAAAAAAGCTTAAAATTGTTCATTTTATGGATGAATTTTCTGCATTTAACAAACCAATATATACTTTATACTCTTTTCAGGAAATACCCTTTCAAAAAAACGTTATTCCATTTTAATAGTTCAACTCCAAACACAAATTATGCAAAGAAATAAGCCATACTGGCTCTCTCTCTCCACTCCAAAGTAAAGATTAAAAGATGTCATCTAAATTTAAAGGGCAAGTGTACCTACCCATTGATAGTATTCAGCAATCCTTCAATGAAATGTGCCAGATAATCAACTTGTGAACCTTCATCAGGAAAGACTGGCCCATGCAGAGAAGCTAGCTGTGCTAGGCACTGTAGAGAGTCTTGTGCCATATCTGTATCCTCTCTGATTTTTCGATGTACCTTTTACAAAGTGAAATAAATTAATACATGGAAAACACATGCGTGTTCTTACAACAGTCATATGGCTCTCAATCCAAAAGAGCAGACACCAAAAAAATCTTACCCTAATTTCTAGTCAATCTGAAATGACATGGCTTCTATAGCATCTCCCTAAACCAGAGTAAACGTCAAGATTGCTCCTCAATTTATTAGCGTCATGAGCCATGGCTTAACTCACCAAAACTAACACTTAATTGGGTCCTACCTACATTTTAGAAATTGAACTGTTTAGTGCATGTTATATCTTAAAGAGAGAAACAGATGCCAGCCAGTCAGACATACTGCTCCTTCTAAAAACAGCAATAATGACAGTCATCTGTATTATGCTAACTATGCCTAAGCTACAGCGTCTTGCTAAAGTTAGTTGATAAGTTCAATCAAGATTATATAGATGCTTCTTTAGCAGAGGTAAACACTGAAGGCACACAAAACAAGTGCACCTCACCCTTGGCAACATCTCTGAGACCACTAGTAATCTTTTCTCATTTCTGCAAATGGAGTGTTACATCACTACTTATGTGGTTACCAATTCTGGATTAAAATAAATCTAACATATCAATAGATTTAAAACATATTTTTACATATTTATTGCAATTATGTATTGCTTTTATTAGGACAAGCATTTTATTTCTACAGGACAAAGCAAATAGTATAATATAATGGTATAATAAATACTAGTATAGTCGGCCTCTCAAAAAAAAAAACGTCTTGTTAAATTGATATATATAAAAGCAAAGTTAAATCTTTATAACCATTTCTCTATTTAGCCCATCTCAAATGTTATCCAAGTGATAATTGTGCAACTAACACGAACCTCTAAATGATACAGAAAGACAAGTTACAACTATTTTAACTTCTGAAAGATCAAATCACATGAAAACACAATTCTGGAATTTAAAACAATTCTTCCCCACTCCACCCTATTAAAATAAATCTTACACCATGTAGAAATTAGGATTTTTCTCCTTTAAAATGGCAGTTTTACAAAACTTAGAAGTATTCAAATTTCTTAGTTCAAATAAGTGTGTAAATTATCACTGTTCATTTAATTTTTGTATTTGAACAAGAATTTGATATCTACAGAAGCAAAGGCTGCATTACTTCAAATGCAAAATTAATGCTATACGACTTAAGCAGTGCTACTTAAAACAAAAGTAACAGTGTGCTGTTTTGATTTTTGTGCATTCACAAATGATTTAACAAACTGATGTATTCTTTAGTTTCCATTAAATAAAATAAATGTTTAGTATTCAGAAGCATTCATCTTCTGTATGTGATGGATAAGGCAGTTACTCAAAATTTAACACTGAGAACAAATCAGAAGTCAGACATTTAACTCAGAGACTAAGAAGTCCCTGAGTTAAATGTCTGACTTCTGATTAAGAAATACAGTTAAACTAGAAAGGGTTAACCTGTAAACCCAAAAGTTATTTGCATTAGGAGGTTCACAGCTGACAGTAGCAACTGTCTAGATCGTCTAGACAGCTGTTCAGATTGTGTGTGGCTGTTAAGAGTTCTGCCAGGAAGTTTTTCACCTTTTCAAGAACTGCTGGAGCAAGATAAATTTTCAATCAAACAAATTAATCTCCTTTATAAAACACTGAATATAGATGTGCAGTCAAACTCACAGGTCAGACAAATCACTTTTGGTTCTAGAGATTTATATATGCTACACAGTGCCCACCCCAACAGAGTTTTGAGTATATTATTTCTCTGCTTTGCAAAAGGAACCCTAGCCTGAAGAATGTTGAGCTGTAAGATCCCAAGAGATGGGATATGATATAAAATAAGATTAGCATAGCAGTTTACATAAATAATCTGAATGCTGTGGCTGGGCTGACTGCAAATTAAGCAAATATTAACAAAAATTAGTGGTAGAAAATTACTGTTACCCAGCTTTAATATCAGTTTTTTTAAAAAATACAAAATAACCATGTGTTGCTCAGCTATTTTCCAGTCAGCAGATCTATCGTTGACCTTTTTGGTTTATATCCAGTTTATAACGAATGGAGTTTTATGCTAAACTTGGATGGAGAAATGCAAAGATATTGCTAGTTTTCAACTGTTCTGTTGAGCAGTGTTCCAGCAGCAGTGAAAACCTATTGTTCAGCTGATATTTGTAGAGCGGCAACACCTTAGCTAAAAAGGTATCTGATAACACGGTTAACGCATTATGCTCAGAATTTCATCTGGCGAATAGATATGTCCAAGAGATTACATGAATACATGAATAATTTTTAAAAGAAAAATAATTTAAGATACTTTATATGCAAAGTACGTCTTGATCACTTGACAGGAAAAAAAAAAAAATCAATAGTCCATCACCACCTTAGAAACTTGCTAGGGTAAAAATTGATGTTAACAGAATTAGTCTTACCTGGTACAACAGGAAGAATCCAACAATAATGTTTTAAAAGAGGAAGGAGTTGCTTCTCTGTGACCTGTATTATGAAAGTTGAAGAAGAATGAGACTTACTGTAAAGAAAAGCTCCATAACTCTGATGTCCAGGAGGGTTTCACGCCACAACTCTGTTGGCTTTAGCATCACATTTTGTGAGGATTCAAACATAGCTATATAATGTCTGCCCAGTTATCTGGTGTCAAGGTCAACAATAACATTCCTACTTGCCTTTAAAAAAAATCCTAGATACAACAGGATCCATTCAGAAAGAATGTAATGGAAACAATCTTTAAGCCTCTCCACATACACAGCATAATTCATGCATGAGGCCAAGGAATAAAAGGTATTAAGTATTGAAAAAAAGAATGCTCCAGGAATGTTAGATAACAGTTTGATCATAATTATGAGACATACCATAGTGATATGATCACTTTGATAACCAGGATATCTAATGTGACAGGGGGAGAGGGGAAAAAGCAACCGCAATTAACAGGTGTTAAAATTTATGCAAAATAGGAAGTCATTTTCTAAAAAATTTTCCTGGCAGCTTTTATAAAGGCCTTATGATTGCTAAAGATAGCTCTCTGAAACATATATCCTATTTTTCTAAATAGCCAAATATGCTTCACAGAATGAAAATATGTTCCCCCTGTATTACTCTAATTTTTTTATCATGCTAGGAAGAATAAAAGCATAAGGCACAAGTCATTGTTCTATTAAGCATATGTTCTTAAAAGAGAAACCAAGGAACATACACACACTGCATCTATGAATTCATTGCAGAGAACCATCTAATTGCTCAACATTAAATTACAAGCATGGAACTCTGCAAATGGTCTAGTGCTGGATGACCAGAGATGCGAGAAAACACTTAACAAGCATGTAAATCCACTGCACTCTGTGAGTCTATGACTATACTAAAGTATATAAATATTTAGAGAGCCATTGAGAATACACTACATATAATACTATATGTGGTTAAAGGCATCATATATACTCCAGATTTCTCAAAATATGTAAAGTTCTAGACATTAGAGTTTATACTACACTAGTAGATGTCAATAAGCTCTACCCTTACTGATCACATTATTCAAAAGAGTAAGCATTTAAAAAAAAAAAAAAAAAAAAAGACAAAAACCCCAAATATAAGTGGCATAAACAAAAATGTGAGCATAAAGCAGGGTGCAACATTTTTACTGCCACTTGTTTGGGGAGACATCATAGTACCACAGTGACTCCAACCATATGGCAGCAACTAAAATAGAACCCCACCACCATCATACACAGTTGAACCCTCTTATAGTGAAGTAATTTTTTCCATAGAGCAATTTCATTGTAAGTGGGAGGTTCACTATAACCAGAACTGCAATCGACACATAATGAACTGAAACAACTCAGGACTTTTATATTACTTCAATACAAAATGAATTTCATTACATACAAATTTACAAATGTATATGTGAACAGTATGGACTTCGAGATACACAATAGATTATTTCATACAGAAATATAAGATAATGGAGTTTTTGGTCTCATTTATATTTGAGAATATAAATAAACGTTTAAGATATCTATAAAGTGACGATGAAAGTATTTCAGTTTTTTGGATGAAAATAAAATATTGGTGTAAGTTATTATAGGAAGTAACCATCCTTCACCAAAACTTTATAGTTACTCTCAGGTGCATTTCAAAGCACTTAGTAGTAGTCGAAATTGTACAGTAAATTATAAATGATTTTCTCCACCCATGATAATCTGATGAAGAAAATACAGCAGGATAAATTATTCTTTACTAGTAAAAGTGCTCTTCTCCTTAATTCTGTACCGAATGAATATGAAATATAGAAGTACCAGAAGAGGATAAGAGATTCAATTTATTCATTAGTAGGTTTAATTTACAAATGGGACCAGTTACATATGCACACCTAATTTGGAATGAAAGAAGGGCTGGTTTACTGTCACTATTTTAACAAGCCTCAGTATTTACTAGTCATATCCTGTTATTTTTAGAACTGAATCTCATACTAATGGCCTGATGACACATCTGACAATAGAAGATTTGTAGGTGAAATAACGTATATGTTCACTAAACAATCCAAAATGAGACTGCAGCTACATCAGAGAACCTAGAACCCATTTTCCAGAAGATATCATTGCACTGGTGCTAGTAAATGTATATAACTGCTAGTGTAGATAGGGCTCAGACATGCTTATCACAGTGGCATAAAAACTTGCTTCAGGGACACTACTGTGAAATTCCTGGTCTATGCTATGGTTTACACTGTTATTAACATTGGTCCATCTGCAGCAGGGCTGAAAAATGGATACTAAATTTGATAGTGCACATGCAGCTTCTGATGCTACCCATGATAACAATATGTTACAAAGCCAGCATTTATCAAAAATGAATTTGAAGACTGTCAATGCTTTTAAAGCAATAGAAATATGACTAATTTGTGCAATACTTTTTCCAGGAGTTCAGACAGCAATATAGTTTAAAAATAAAAATGCCACTGAACCACTCTGTAATGTCACAGGAAAACTAAATCAATTTTTTTAAATTAATCTTTTTTTCCCCCAGAGCAAATCCTTAAAACAGCTCACTGGTGATACCACACAAATGCACATTAAAAACAACCAATGGGAAATTCAACTTTGTACTGAGATGATAAAATGTAAAATACAGAGATTCTTACAGAAGCTGAAAGTCTTTTAAAATCAAAAACAAGATTATTCAATGAACAGTCTCAAATTGTGCTGAGAAGTATAATAATGCAGAAATGTCATTCATGCCATGACATACAGTAAGGCAAAAGTATTCACTGGTGCTTTTGCTGGAAGAGAACGATTGCAGATCATACTGAAGTATTGTTTTGGAAGGGTTCATTTAGCTTACATTGGTTCCCTTCATCCCAATTTATGTATGCACCCACCAACTTCACGATGGGCTTAATTTTACAGATTATAGAAATAAAACCATGTTTTCAAACATGGGCAATCACTGGGAAATTAAAATGATTTTCAAATTATATACGCTCTAAGTACTACTTACAATTACACACATTTTTATTCACATACTAATTCATATTAATGAATATCTGCACAACATACAATAGGTGGCGTTAACCTCCAGATCTACACATAGGTCATCCTTCTCTGCAGCATAGCCAACTTCCATGACTCCCCTGTGAAAGGCACTCTGTGGGTCCAGAGCCCATGCGTAGTGAATGTACAGGATATGCACTGCTGCCCCACTGACCCTCAAGAGGTGGGGCTATATTATCTTTTCCACAAAACCTCTCCATGGGTCTGAGGGCAGCCATTGGGTATTAGAGCAAGTGTTGTAGCTCAGGGCCTTCTGCAGATCCACCAGGTTTGGTGGTGGGCCCCCACAGCCTGTTCCAGGTGAAAGCAAACCCTGCCTCTTCCCAACAGAACAATAGGGGAGTAGTTCACAATCAATGCTTTGATTTCCTCTGACAGACTTCTCCCACTGGTGTTTCTGCTGGAGAGGATGATCTGGCGCATTATGAGATATTTGCTTCAAAGGTCATTTTAATCAAGCTTTAGGACTTGTTTGGAGAAAAAGTGTTTCAAGTACAATAGAAGTACTCCTATACATATGTTTTACCGATAATTAAAAACATTAAATAAAATCTAACAGCTGGAAGTCTGCAGTACAACATTGTAATGCCAGTATACTGATTATATTTAGAGTTTAAAGACTGTTGTTTCTGGTTTGCAACTATGCCAAGCACATGGCCAGGATCTGAGAACAACGCACTAACACTGATACACAGACGGACTGGGATTGGTCCCTATGGGAAAGGGACTCTCAGTCTATAAGGGATCTTACAAACCCTCATAAGTCCCTACAGGATAAGTCTTTCATGTCTGACTTTTTTGGGGAGGTGAGGTTTGGGTAATAAAATGAGGAAAGCCCATGCTTGAATCCTCAGCATCTTCTGCTTAAAAAAAAAAACAAACAGCCTACACTTTTAAATACTAAACTTTTGTCCAGGGCAGCACAATTAACAGTTAAGAGGAAGGCTAAATTACCTTGCAGTTGAGGCACTGGACTAAGACTCAGAATACCCTAGGTTCTGTTCCCAGTTTTGCCACAGACTTCTTGTGTGTCAGTCACTTACAGCCTAGTTTTCAGAGGTGCCAAAACTGGAGTTGTGTGCACTCTGCACCTTGAAAAGTCAGGCCTTTAATCTCTCAGTCTCGCTTCCTCTTTTTTTAAATGGGGATAAAACTACTTCCTTAGAGGCACTGCAAGATCTATTAAGGTTTGCAAGTTGCTCACATACTACACTACAAATCAGAACTACTAACTGTGATATGTAATCTATCATTTCAAATCAGCTTCTGTACCAGATGACTGGAGGATAGCTAATGCAACGCCAATTTCTTAAAAAGGCTCCAGAGGTGATCCCGGCAATTACAGGCCAGTAAGCCTAACTTCAGTACCAGGCAAACTGGTTGAAACTGTAGTAAAGAACAGAATTATCAGACACATAGATTCACATGATTTGTTGGCAAAGAGTGAACATGGTTTTTGTAAAGGGAAACCATGCCTCACAAATCTACTAGAATTCTCTGAGGGGGTCAACAAGCATGTGGACAAGAGGGATCCAGTGGATATAGTGTACAAGATTTTCAGAAAGCCTTTGACAAGGTCCCTTACCAAAGGCTCTCAAGCAAAGTAAGCTATCAGGGGATAAGAGGGAAGGTCCTCATGGATAAGTAACTGGGGTAGGAATAAATGGTCAGTTTTTGGAATGGAGAGAGGTAAATAGTGGCGTCCTCCAGAAGTTTGTACTGGGACCAGTACTGTTCAATATAAATGTTCTGGAAAAAGGGGTTAACAGTGAGGTGGCAAAATTTGCAGATGATACAAAACTACTCAAGATAGTTAAGTCCAAAGCACACTGTGAAGAGTTACAAAGGGATCTCACTAAACTGGGTGACTGAGCAACAAAATGGCAGATGCCCATTGGAAAACAAAATCACAACTTTACATATAAAACCATCGGATCTAAATTAGCTGTTACCATTCAAGAAAGAGATCTTGCAGTCATTGTGGAGAGTTCTCTGAAAACATCCACTCAATCTGCAGAGGCAATCAAAAAAAGCTAACAGAATGTTGGGAATCATTAGGAAAGGGATAGGTAAGACAGGAGAA